GCTCTTCCCTCGGTGAGGAAGGAACCTCTGCATGGGGCTCCCTCGTTTTGTTGCCTCAGGAATGGGGCGTTTGAGAATAAATAGCACCAAAGCATTATCGGGGGACTGCAGCTTTTTGAGGAGGAAAACAGGCTTCTAAGGCGGTCAAAGGCTGAAGATCCGGGTGAGCCTTGAGGCAAAGTTGTAAGGAACTCATTTTGGACAGCTAAAAATGATGCTGAGGCACCATTTGGTTAAGGTGTGCCTTGTGAGTTTGAAGGTCTAGGTTCTACTGCCGTGCCATGGCCTGTCTGTGTGTTTTTGGACAAGACATCTCCTTGTCTTACAGTTGAAACAATACTCCACAGAGGGCAGTGGGTTCAGTCTGTTGAGGTCTCTTAGAAATGCTGCAATGAAAAAAAAATCTCAAAGCTACTGATTCTGTTTTTCTAAAACCCTTCCAGACACCTAAAATCTCAGTGAATTCATTATTGATGGGAATTTCCTACAGAATGACTCTTTTGGAGAAGATGTGGGCAGGCAAGGGGGTCTGTGGGGTTTCATCCGGTGGGGGAAGCTGGAGGTGTGCTCCCATTGGAATGTCAGGGCTGTCAGCGACGTGGCAGATGTGAGTGGCAAGGATGGAGGCAGGTAGCACTCTCTGTATAGGGAGAATGTAGCGGGAAGATGGTGGGGTGGGAAAACTTGTGGTGAGTGAGAAAAAATGGGAGAGGAAGGACCAGGTTGGGGAACTGGGTGGTAAACGGAGTTGGTGGGAAATGTGGGTAGACCCTGAAGGGAGGAAAGGGGGCTATGAGATGGTAAGTCTGGGGTGCAGGGTTGGGGAGTGTTAGGGTTTGAGGAAGCCTGGGGAGCTGAGGGCTTGGTAGGGGAGGTCATGGGAAAGACGTGGTGGGAATGCTGGTATCCCAGAGGCTTTGGGGCCAACAGCTGGAGTCGGGGAGACTGGGAGCTGTGGTCTGGGAGTAGCTGGGGAATTTGAGCTCTGAGATGGTTTAAGAGGTCTGGGGCAGCAGAGATTTGGTACAGGTTCTCTGTGGGAAGCTGAGGGATCTGGGGCGGGAAGGGCTGAGGGAAATGGGCTTTGCTTTTGGGGCACAGCAAGGGCATGTGTAGGGCTGAGTTCCTGGAAGAGAAGGGATTTTTGGGATGGCCACCAATAGTCATCGTAGTGTCCTAGGGTGCAGGCAAGGGCTGTGGCTTTCCTTCTCGCTGCCACAGATACAGTAATCCTAAGCATGCCGGGAGCTTCATGCATGCACGCGTCAGGCAGCTGTACTCTCAGGTTTGCTGTATCATCTGCACAAACCAATTACCATGAAGTGGGGAACAGACACGTCTGGATGTGTCCATGCCTCGAGTGAGTCACCGGGCCATCCTATTAATATAACAAATTCTCACCTTCTCTCTCTGCTCCCACTTCTGTGGCCTATCCCACTTTCTTTCCACCTCCGGTTGAGACAGTGCACTCCTGTCTTTTCAGTCACTCCACGACATGTCTAGCTTGCTCTCAGAGAGTAACCCTGGAAAAAGCAGTAGACACCCTTACAAATAAATGTGTCCTGCAGTGCAAAGCATCTAATGACGAGCTCTCT